AAATGGCCGCCATTTTGAAAAATCCCCGTAATTGCCGACTGCATCGATTTTTGCGTTGGCACAATATCAGAATCGATTCCTGGTATTCAAAGACATATTTTGACAGAGTGTCATGATTTTAACCTGAAAGTGAACAATTCGACCTAAATTCTTCACCTATCCGCCTAACTAAATGGTTTTGGATTTTATCAAAATTTCTGCATACTTCACAAATAATTGAGCCTAATGATATCTGCTATCAATTCAAGTTTTAAATGTTGATTCTAATTAAGCCATAAGATTCATTACTCAAGCTCTTACACTTTACACGACCCCTTGCATCTTCCCTTTTGCTCAATAGTTCCCAATTCACTAGGTTTTCTTTGATATTCATACGGTTGTATATATGATAGAGACAGATTGAAACTTAAAGCAGGGGAGCGATTTGATATTCAGCAGGGAAATGTGGGGTTAATTAATTCAATTGAATAGCTCATTATAAATTCACCGGGCTATATATGAGTGACCGGGATCTAGTTTTATAATGTGCGTAAGAACTATGGAACTCTCTATTGTTCTGCGGCATTGCAACTCCCCCATATACAGATGTCTTGGTTTTCACACTGAATATATATCAACCTATGGGTAACACATTTTTGAAATAAAATGTGGATAAACTCTATTTTGAAACAAAGTTTGTTTTGTATTAAAACCTCTTATCCAATCATAARCACTCAAAACAATAGCCAAAAGAAGCTTCTAATTTGCTATGTTCCACACATAGAATTGCCTTAATATTGTAGCTAAAGAAAGCTTTCATGAAGTCGGAATCAGATATTAAATAAAATATTAGAAAATGCGCTAACTTGTGAAATTATAGCAGATTTTCTTGTTTAAGCAAGGGCGCTAGAACTGAAATTATGACCTATAAGATCGAAAAATTGCTTAATTTATCTAACGTAAGATAGTCGAGAATAAATAAAGTTTACTTATCTGAAATATATACTGAAATGTCGTCTTAGACACTAAAGAACACTTGATTTTACGCGGAAATTCATCCAAATGATCGTTACTCAAACTCTCAAGCGGATTTTACTGAATTTATTACCGCTGTCCTTGTTGTACCAGCCACTGCTGTCTCGCCAGGAACGTTATTGACTAACGGGATTAAAATCACTTTGCCCTGGCTGAACTTTTGGTGTTCATTGTATAAGACGACATTTCAGTATATATTTCAGATAAGTAAAACTCTATTTATTATCGACTATCTTACTTTAGATAAATTAAGCAATTTTTCGATCTTTTAGGTCATAATTTCAGTTCTAGCGCCCTTGCTCTGACCGATAATTGACGTTCACCTATCTAATCTTAATTAAAATGCGGGTCCGGAAGTTTATCTAAGAAAGTCCTTCATTCAAAAATGTTTAGTGTACCGCAATATGCTCTATTCTAATGAACAAAAAATTAAATGTCAATTGATGTGATTATATCCACATTAAAGTGGTTCAAGTTATGAATTTTATAGCATTAAGACGCCAGGGTCAAGCAATTGATTTGTTCAAGATTTATTATCTGATATATGAAAACATGGAAATATTATGAGGCCACTCTAATATAATACTGACTTCATTTTGGTTCTGCCACCGCTCAAATAACCAGTCCGTGAAGAAAAACGATGTAGTAAAAGGAATTCCTTCATTAAAGGTTATAACAACGAAGGTATCGCTTGATAAATATTCAAAACTAGCTGCAAATTGTTCTTGACAACGCAGTCATTTACAAACTGCACCAAATAGCACTTTATATATTTGACTCTTATGAATCTTACCTTAATAAAGATCTTTATTTTTCCTCAGATTTGCAGACGTGCCGCTTAATGCCCTGTTCCGGTTTGATATAATCTGCAAGATCTGGTATATTGACTTGTTTATCCTTCAAGAGTTTGTTAGTTTGCTTGTAATTGGAGGAATAAAATAATGCTCATTGCAAATAGCCAGTAAACCAATCGAATATGATCTTGCAAAACCGCGAAGGGCTACCCGGAGAGATGACGTCACAAAACGAATTGTTTTTTGACTTTGTACTAAAAAATGCAGTGATCAACAGAAGAGCTCGATGTAGATTACGTAGAATGAGAATTGCACTGTACGCTTGGAGGATAAATCGCACTCAAGAATCATGGTTTGATGTATATTATAATGATTTAACAGTGGTTTGGCAGTCATTGAAGCCGAAGCAGTAGCGACCGCCCGCCATGATTGCCCAACAATGTCGCGGACTTAAGTCACGTCTCAGATGAACCTGTTGACCCGACATGGCTGGGTTTGTCAAGGTCACCGTTGGCCTTTGAACGCCACGAAGGTCGAATACCCATTTCTTTAGGTGAACACACATCTGTTGTTATTTTTTCCTTGTCAAGGTTTGGCCGAACGGCCGATAAATTTCAAAGAACCTCGTCTCCATGTTATATCAACAAACAATGAATAACAAAAATCTGCTAGCAACAGTGTCAACAGAGACCCCGACGTCTCGCCCTAGACTTCCTCTGTTGTAATAAATGCTCGCATGGCGAAATACCGAACGGTGAACAGATTGTAGAACGGTTCTTGGACGAAAATGGAGAACTACGGCGAAAATCTAGCACTCAAATCTGGTCGGGGTGTTCAGATTAATGGTGTATTATGTGTTCAAGACGAGGAGATCTCACAAATTCAGAGATCGACACCACTTTTAGTCGAGAGAGCTAGTATCTTATTGGTCGAGATTGTACCACGTGAAAGTCACAAAATTTTACTGTTTCCCGGCAACTGTCCACCAGCGGTTAATAATATGTTGTGAACCGTCAATAAGGACAAAGTCGCACAAAAACACTATTCAGTGTCGTGAAAATGTCACATTTACAGACGCTACATTCCAAAATTGTTATAAAACATTTCATTTCGACTACAAATAGTTATAGTATTCATTGCGTTATTACATTGATTGATTTTAGTGACATTTGACTATTTGTATTGACATTTTTCAGTCATTTTATGAAAATATTTAATAAAAACATTTCATCTATTTACTTTTTTTGCTCTCTTTGACACTTGATATGCTTCGGGAAACATCAGTGGACTCGGGACCACAAAAACATACTGTTGCCCTTGGTTCCAGTAAATATGTGTTAATTATAAAGATTACAGAAATTACATTTCCGGTAACTTTAATAGAGTACAAACCATAAAAGCGTTCAGTATTTTGGTATCAAATACACTATAGTGCATACGACATAGAAAGAAATAGAATTAAGATATGAAAGTCAACTTCAATAATTTAAGGACTGGCATGGAAGCAGTATAATTGTTTAAAGATTTTATATAATGAAATACTTCGTTGCCCCGTTGTCTTAAACAGGATCTACAATTCAGATAAAAGACTGAGATAATTTTTTGTTTGTTTGTTGTGTGTCTTGGACAGGGTAATATTTTCATAAGAAATACCGTAGAAATAGTAGAAATACCGTTTCACTGTACCAGGATTAACGTGTTATCAAAAACGTTTTAGACTACGTTCACGCGGGGCCGAGGTTTAGGCGAGCGTTCACACTGGCTCTGGAACTGGCCTCATCTGGGGGTGGCAAAGTGTTCAGGTTTGGGGTCGGCTAAAAAGCCGTCCCACTTTGAGGACGGGTCACTTCGAAGCATGAACGGATCCGTGGGAACACTGTTTCAATCCGTACCGAAATGTGGACGGTTCCGTGTGAACAGTGGGAACCGAGATGTCCTCAAACTTGACCGTCCCCGTGTGAACGGAGTCATATTGTCTTTGATGGATGTCAGTTTAATTGCACTTTTGATGATTGCGGCGTATTTATTTGTTATTATGCGCATGCATGGGTGCTATGAGAATTCAGCAGTATGTGGGCGTTGGCTCCGAGCGCGCGCAATCGCGCGCGTTCAAAAGTAGGTAGTAACCGTAAAGGCATTCTTTTGAAATTTTATAATGCTTTCAACACTAGAAATATAGATATATATATGGACTCTATCCTTTCAGCTCTTTTAGTTAATCCAAATTGTATTGATAACGTTTTTAGTTGTAGCTTTTATGATGGCGCTTTGTCAAAGTCACTTTAGCTAACTAAGTTTGATAAAACTGATTGTATTCAAAATTAAGTTATAAAATTTTTAATATATAACGCGCGCTCTGATTGGCTGACGACCGTGTTTATATCAGAGGACAGAGACACGGCTTACAGGCAAAATTTTCTTTTCGCTCGAAAAATTTAATAATAGAAATATAAAACGGCCGCTTGTGTCTCTGTCCTCTTATATAAACACATAATTAATAGTGTTTCCCGACCTTGTATGATGGGTACGATGCTTTTATTTAGATAAACAGATAGTATATGCTATTTCCCTGGAGGCTTAGATAGCGAATCCTTATTTTTACGATTTGTCTTGAACAGAGTATGGGGTTTCACTTTCTAGTGTCTTAAAAAGGGTAAGGGTTTTAGACCGCGCGCGTCCATACCTATCAAAAACGGAATAGAATAGAATTGTAAAAACATCGTCGTACATCGTAGAAGTAGTATTATCCGTTATGACACGAGAAACTCACCTTTCGATCTGGTGTCGCATAAAAGCTAGTAAAATAGTCATAACATAATGTCTAATGGGCACATGGTCTAGTGGGAACTTCTCTGCCGTTGACGCGAGAGGTCATGAATTTCTTTCGTTCGAAAAAAAAAGAAAGAAAAAAGATACAGGAAGACCGTGAAGATGAATTTCCAACAGATATGGATAAATAAATTAATAAATAATGAAAGAAGTTAACAACGCAGTTTACAAGAAAGTGTGTGAGTGAGTGACTTAGTGGGTGACAGATCTTCCCCCTACAATAACTCTTCGATTGCTAACGCAATATCTGAGTTAAAAAATTCCCATAATAACTTTCTCTGATGTAATCGACGTTCCGCACTGACAACCTTGTCACAATGAGTAACTGGCGTTACACAATTCTTGTGTTATTCAAACCGGAAAACTTTTAAGAAGTTTCTTTATCGTGAGCTCGATACTCTTTACTCATATACAAAGGATTATCTCTCTCTCCTTTAGCAAAAGAGGCTAAGGTAAAACAAACAAACACACATTAATCAGAGCACGATAAGCACTAAAAGTAATTAATGAATATAACGAATGATAAAGTAGACAGTTCAGTTCAGTTGACATTAGTAATGCTAATTTTCAGACAACTTCTCTAACTCAACAGAAGTAGTTTAAAAAAGTGACTTAAACATCAATACAGCTAAATTATTTTATTGTTGGTTTCTTTTATTTATGTTTTTGTATTCCAGAAAAGCTATGCGCATACACTTGGCGTACGTTTTCGTTGCGTTCTAAAGATGTTTTACAGTTAGTTAATAAAACAGATGAGATGAAATAGACCGAGAAGAATGCAATACTATCAAAATATCCAAACATATAACAAAGACTGTAGCTTAGCAAAAAACAATACCACAAATACAAAATTAACTAAAAAAAATCGCTGTTGTAAATTTGCTGTAAATATGATGTAAGTGTCCAAAATGATGTCAATTTGATGTAAATCATGATTTCGAAACCAAACAAAAATGATTTGAATTGCTTCGTCTTTAACAGACATAACTTCCTTCAATTAAAGACGTGATTATTCTATTCTATTCTTTTAGGCAAAATTAGTTTAGTTTAAGTTATAAAATTAGCTCATTTGCAATTAGCAGATAGAAATTGAAGTACGGCGTACTGGAACAATCACTGCTATTCCACAGAATCAATTTGCAATTGCACCTCATAGAAGTAATTTTCAATAAGAAAAAAAACATACGCGCTCCTCTGAAGGCAATCTTGTAGGAATATCGGTTGATAACAATATTTTCATGTATTCCGCATAACTCAACGACGTATTCCATTGTATTTTAGTGGATAACTAACTACTATGTCTGCGCAAAAACGGATTTGTGTGATTGGAGCTGGACCAAGTGGCATGTCGGTCTTATATCATTATAACAAACTAAAACAAGAAGGAAAAGACGTCCCGCAAATTGTGTGCTACGATAAGCAGTCAGACTGGGGTGGTCTCTGGTTGTACTCCTGGGAGACTGGTAATAACATATAACTTAGTAAATACACATTGGTTTATTTGTCATCATTGGCATATTTTCCATGCAGGCATAGATCAATATGGTGAACCAGTGCATGGAAGCATGTACAGAGGAATGTGGACTAACAACCCAAAAGAAGTTATAGAACTCCCTGATTACACCTTTCAAGATCACTTCAAAAAGCCAATACCATCTTTCCTTCCAAGAGAAGCAATGTTTGATTATTTGAAAGGTAAGAATTGAATTTCGTTGGAGAAAATAAGAATGCTAACTTTCCGAGCATGAAAGAGCATAACATTCAATAACATTTACAATAGGTCGTTGGTCACAAAGCGATCTCCGTCAATGGATCAAATTCAACCATGTTGTCCGCCATGTCACCTACAATGATGACACTGATGACTTCTCAGTTGTCGTGAAAAACCTGCCAGAGGACAAAGACCTCCCAGCTCAGAGATTTGACTACGTCATCGTGGCTACCGGTCACTTCTCTGTCCCTAACATACCATACTTCGAGGGCATTGATCAATTTCCAGGTAGAATCATCCACTCCCATGACTTAAGGAATGCATCTCAGTTCAAAGGTGACAGAATTCTTGTCGTGGGTGACAGTTTCTCAGGAGTTGACATCGCAATACAGACTCTTAAGTATGGCGCAAAAAATGTCATCATCAGCTACAGAACAAGTGCACTAGGATATAAATGGCCTTCAGAGATTGAAGAAAGACCACTTTTGAACAAGGTCGAAGGCAACACAGTTCACTTCAAAGACGGTTCCAGTGCAGAAGTGGATTCTATCATCTTGTGTACTGGCTATCGCCATCATTTCCCTTTCATGGAGGAGAGCCTTCGACTCAAAGCCAGTGATAAAGAGACTTGGTACCCACCAGGACTGTACAAAGGCGTTTTGTGGTATCCAAGAGGAAACAACAAGTTAATGTATATTGGAATGCAGAATCAGTTATACGTGTTTACCATGTTTGATATCCAAGCAAAGTGGGCATTGGAATATATCGTTGGCGATAGAGAGGTTCCAGATAAAAAGACCATGGAAGCTGATGTGGATAACTGGAATCAGAGGTAAGGGCTAAATGTGTGCAATTCATCACTAAATATTAGTTTTTCGACAATAAACAGAAAATATCGACGAAAAACCAAACCTAAAAATAGTCGGCACTATTATTGGCTTGAAGTTATTCGCATGAGTGGCAATTGTGCAATAAATACGATCATGTTTGGTCCAATCGCCGCTTTTCAATCTCAGTTAACGGTAAATTGACATACTTTGATTATAAATTTATTTAACTGTCTTAAATATGACAGCGGACGACAATATTGGTAAGCATTTCGTATAGTTACACCCTTCGAACCAAGTTGATTTACCATTTTACATCAATACAGCACATTCATAAGTACCTATACCATCGATTTCATACAACTGAAAATATTATTGAAACATTAAGCACTTTCATATGAAAGAACTTTCAGTATCAGACATTCGTGGAAAGGTTCGAAGCTATGGACTAAATACTAACAAAGTTATAAAGGAATAAAAATACAAGTTTGTGTATAAAATATTTTTGCTGAGACCTCGGTAGTCTCGTTTTGGTGTTTTGTGCGTCTATTGTGAAACTTCCGTAACTTACATATAGCTTTAATATCTATCGTCTGCGTTTTTGTGACGAGAGGCTTTATGGGGCCTCTCTTCACTATGTCATCGTGTATGAGTGATGATGTAACCGTAACCATTCCACGTGACTGTCGTCAAGGAGATCTCTTCTGTCAGCGGTATGGAATTTGGACATTACTGTAGTTCACTTTCTGACTCGACTCGTTTTTTGAGGTTAGTTGTAAACTTCTCGTATGCAATGTATACAAACTCTTTTACGTGGCTTCGGCTCGAGATTGTAAAATCCCATACAACACGGCCGCTCATGTTGTAAACTTTACCTAAAACACTCCTTAATAATATTCTTTATATAAAGAACACCTTTATCAGATATAAAGGTCCATGACCCTAGCAAAGGTCTCAGGTTTGATACCCGATCAATGACCAATGCAGGATGTTAACCGATTGCAGTAAAAAAAAAACAGCCACCAGCAGTTTTATTTTACTTTATGCGTATTCAATGCGGGACGTCAAGAGTGCTTTGTTAAGTGATATGCGCATGATCAGTTTGCCCCACTTATCTCAAAACTTAATTTTAAGGCAATTTCTCCAAGAATTTTAACGACTTCAAATTAATGTTGGAGTTTTTTTAAGCCTTATAAAACACTCGAGATCGTGTTTTATGAGGTAAAAATACCTGATAAAACAATCTCTCGTGTTTTAACCTATACAAAACGTTCTCCCCATGTAATAACATAATTAAAAAAGCTATAGAACTTGTAAAGTTTGCCTATTTTTAAAGTTGAGGTATACCACCATTACAATGTGTTCATGTTATTTGGAAGTTCTTATTGAACTGATTTCATTACACTTTTCCTCTTTTGAGTGAATGTGAACATTATTTGTACATGAATTTGACTACTATTTTCTCTGTGTTTTCCTACTATTTATCTACTCACCTTATGACTATTTATTATTTAAATTATTCAACCTATTTTTTGATAGTTTACTACAACTACTATCGATTTTTTATCCCACTCTATCAGTACAATTCTTATGTACATTCTAAATACATCTCTTTGGCCTGAGTCACATGCTTGACTGCCTATTTTTTTTTTTTTTTTTTTTTTTTTTTTTTTTTTTTTTTTGAATATTATAAAATTAACGATAATATGCTAATTAGTGTTGGCCATTATGAAAATCAATTGTAACAACATTGTATATGAATACTACTTTTTCAGGCTGAACGAAGTAGGCGATGTTATTGGAATACTAGACTTTCAGACAGAATATGTAAAGCTCCTTGCTGAAGAAGTAAAATATGGCTGTGACGTTGATTGCGCTCACATGATTAAGCATGAATTGGTGTATTCGGTGGATCACCCCTTGTCTTACAAAGATACATGTTACGTCAGTAATCACAGCGGAGTCAAGTCAATCAAACACCATACTTCATTTATGGAGGCTTTTGATGACTCCATAGAAACGTTTCTTGACACCAAGCAATAAGTGTCTCGTATTTTACTTTATACGAATGTATCTTAAAAGTACTATCTAAGCAATAATTAAATAAATGTGAACATCATTAACAATTCTTGATAATGATATTAAACTGACTGTAAAATATTCTATTTGTTCTATTTAAAATTTATCTGAAGCTTGGTTTTGCAATTCGACTATATCAGGAAACCTAAACCCTGTATGCAGGGTTAACTCGTGTCCTACATGATTTTGGTTTGTTTAGGCCTGTGCGTTCTCTAGATAGGAGAAAACGGCGAACCATCGAGTCCATTTTCCATGGTCCAGCACAGGGTTCCGAACTGCAAGCACGGTGCCAGTACCACCACAGTAAACCCGCGCGAAAATTATAGTAMMAAAAAAAAAAAAAAAATGGCGCCAAAATGTTTATTGGAAGGTCGACATTTTACCTTCTAAAACTCATAAATTATTCATTAGACATTCTTCCAATGAGCATTCAACTATGGGTCAAATGGCAGAACCAACAACTCAAGTTACAAACACTGATTAGTTAAACCAATTCAGATAGTTATAACGCTMATGCATAAAACATCAGTGTTGTAACTGATTTACAGACACTCGATGTGTGCCCAACACTAGAAAAGTTATCAGTTTTTGACTCTCATCTTAGAACTTCACTAGGTTTCGAGTTTAAATGTAGTTTTTGCAGAGTCATAATAGACTAAAACATAGTGGCGCTTAGATGTGTGAAACCAAGTTGATTACTGCTTATGCTCAGATGGAGTTATCTTCATCAATTATTCATTTTTGATATTTTTTATTTATTTCGAGCCCGTGCCCCCCCCCCCCCCCCCCCAGTTTTCTGTCTTCTTGGGCCACTTTCGTTTCAATTTAAATAAAAATCCATCAATTGGGCTTCCTGATAAAGAAGCCCCATATATGGTGATGCGCATTTCCAAAAACAAAAAGGCCCTCGAACCTGTTGAAACTCTCGAGTGGATCACTTCTAAGCGATTATTTTGTCTTTCCTTCTTTTTTTTTTTTTTTTTTTACTGAAATACGCTTATTCTTATTTTTCCGTAGAAATGTGTTTTACATATTTTACACGCAAGATCATACTTGAATAGCGGCGTTGAACTGACGATCTCGGGTTCGATTCTCGACTCGAGCAGCTTCTACATATTTTTTTCTTTCTTTCTTTAACTTTTGAATATACTTGTTCTGTTTTTTTACTGAAATCATTTTATGCAAACTTTCATCTTATAAATTATCTGAGGATAATGCGAATGCAATCTGAATGCTAAATTTTCGCTGCAATGATAAAAATATTCAAAAATGATGGATTTTGTTTGAATTTTTTTATTACAAAGAAAGTCTCGAATCTGATAAACAAAGTTGTCTTGATTCCATCGGTCCAACTTACGGAATATATGGAAGTTGAACTGATTACCATAGCAACGGTCCAATACGGCTCTGGACGCACCGCGCGTCAGCCAATCAGAATTCGGGAAATTTAAAAGCCACATAATATATATTTTTTTATTAACACTGCCTGATTCAAACTTTTCCTTTCGAATTAATGTTGATATTTCATWAGGTTGAAAAAGTTTGACAACACTATAGTCAATCTAAGACGCATGCAGATTTTGTTTCCTTACTACGTTAACAATTACATGGTGTCACAATTCTTAATACTTCCTGACCAGAGCACAGAACAATGATTGAAAGCTAAAATCTTATTGTACACTAAAAGCCCATCAATTTATAGTTTTTGTTGCTCTTGATTTCATCGCGATATAATATTGTTGGACCACAAGGGACCGTCGCGGCAGTGAAAACGTTCCTCTTAGTTTCTGTTGTGTTATAGTAMMAAAAAAAAAAAAAAAATGGCGCCAAAATGTTTATTGGAAGGTCGACATTTTACCTTCTAAAACTCATAAATTATTCATTAGACATTCTTCCAATGAGCATTCAACTATGGGTCACATGGCAGAACCAACAACTCTCTGCTTTATTACTACATGCTTGTTTGACGCTCTGGATGGACTAACTAACTACTACTCGTTACATTGCTTGATATATGCTTTACAGAATTAAACAAAACCCAAATAATAATTTGATACTAACTAAAACAATAACCAATTACGGCATAACTCCATACTGAGGGGAATTCCCCATTTAGGACGACCTTGGCTTATTCTACAAATATCGATCACGTGAACATTTTAAACTGCGTCATAAACTTAAACTAAAGTAATTACTTATAAAAATACAATAATAATGATATTTGGAAATTTCACAATCATTCTGTGACTTCAATATTGATCTTAACCCTACAGCATAATAATTTCTGGACATTAAAGCTACTGGTAATTCAAAACWATTTTTCCTGGTAATCTAAAACTACAAGTACATGACTTGACATATTTCAATTTCTAGACCAAACTATAAAACTGCTGATGAATCACTTAAAACTGAAATCTACCATTAACTTATTAATATTGTATTAACTAAATGTCAGGGAGACGTAGTCTAACAATATCTTAAAACAACTGTAAACAAATTCTATTTTGTCTGGCTTACACAAAAGTTATGCTTCTCACCAGCCTGGTCCCCAGGCGTTCCTTGTTTCTGTTATTGTAATGATGTCACAGAGTGACAGTCTCGGGAACGCCTAGCGAATAAGGCCAAACTCTAAAATGGGGGACGAAGTCGTTAGATGCAGCTGTAGATCTCGATTGGCTCTGTTTTAAAGAATGTTGTCGTGAATCAAAGAAGATTTTAGGTGAAATCAAGTAAAAAAAGAAAAAGATCAAKATTTTTTCGCACAGCAATTGTGTCAAGCTTCAAGAGAGCTTCAAGAGTACGCTCCGTGAAAACGTTATGTTACTTTACAATAGGTCAATGAATCACACAAAGACAAGGGAAAAAGTACGTATTGTCATGCTAATCAACGTAGAAATTACTTTACCATGTCGAATTCCCTTGAAAACCACACGGAAGCACAGTTTAAGACATTTTTTGCTCTATTTACAACTAACTTTTAACAACTTCCGATCAGGGACAAATTTCCTCAATCAGGAACAGATTTGCCATTTTTCGCTAGACGTTCTCTGGCGCTCACAAAGTCTCGTCCCTTTTTATAACACTGGAAAATCTCCCTAAAATCACCAGTAAAAGCGCCGGTACTTTTCTATCTTTGCAAAGAAAAATGCAAAAATGCCCCAAAAACTACTTGAGTGGACATGAAAAAGTGCAAGGACTGCAATTAACATCACACTTTGATGCAAAAAAATTGTCCTCCTTAAAACATGTTCTATTGAGTTAGTCTTATCCTTATTGTTTCACGTTAATAAACGCCTTCATCGAGTCATCGAGAGCTTCCATGAATGTGGAGTGGTGGATTGGTGACTTTACTCCAGTGAATTTACTAGTATAGCTCTTGTCTCTGTATGTTAAGATATCGGCCATTTTGTTATTCAGCCAATCCAACAACAACTGACTTATTTCTAAATCGTATCCATAATTGCTTTCTTTTGCCACGTCACATGTGTAATCTCCCTGAAAGACAATCATGTCTTTGTCTGTTTTTGTTTCATTCATCAACCTAGCAAAATGAATTCCTTGACATTAGTACTTGAAAAAATGACACCGAATGGATAAATTAATRGGAAAATAAGAAAAAGGAAAATAAAAGGAAATTAAAGGGAAAAAAAGRMAAAAGAACAAGAACAACAAAAGTGAAAAGAGAATGGAAAAGAGAAAAAAAGAAAGTAAAAGGGAAAAGAGATAGAGAAAAAAGACCTACATAAAAGCTGACATATCCAGATTTTTTAGATTTAGCATTTGTCACCAAAATAACTCAAAGCGATCAATGTATCCATACACTTAGTCTGAATATTTCTTTAAAAATTACTTCAAAAAATAGGTCATATTCGTGCAAGCGCTTTTTATCTGGATACTTGTAAACACTTTCTAAAAAGAAATGTATCCAATGCGTGAGGTCAGGAATAAACGAACCGATGAATAAACCATTGAAAAAAAAGGAAACAAAAGAAAGTGGATGTTTAAATGCGCAAAACGAATGTACAGATAAATCTATAAAGTGCGGCTACGACGAAAAAAAAATATTCTTTTCAAAGAGTTTTTTTGTGCATAATCCAGTACTTTGAAGTCTAACTAAGCATGTTGGCTATTTTTTTTTATCGAAAAAGTAATATGAGAAATCGAGCTTCGAAAGTAGTAAAAATGCCGTCCACCATTTATGGGTTTGATGTCTGAGCCCCAAATACTAAAGACTGCGGTATCTCCCGAGACGAAAGTTAGTGACGTCACTGACTCAACACGTGACTTCTTGATTCGATGTTTTTATAAGAAAGTTACAATGAAATGGAGAGTGAAAATGAAGCAAACCGCTATGAARATGACTCCGATTCTTTAAATGAGAGTTTCTTCTCAGCATCTGAAAACCTGTCACCTCATGTTGACAGTGTTGAACCGCTTGCGACTTTGAAGAGGTGACAGAAAACGAAAGGACAGTAGCTAAAGAAGAAGAGGACGAGAACTTGATGCTGAGTCGCAGGAAACTTCCCTAGCATGGTCAGCTGGATTTGCCCGGTGTTTTTTTTTTTTTTTTATTATTTTAACCATTGCACTCAGAATAGATTAGTAAGCATTGTTTTTTGCTCGACTTTATTTTTTGGATTGGACTAGTAGCAGAAATGGAAAAAATTAAAGAGCAGCAACAGCTTAATGGACAGGAAGACTATTTTGGCTCTTCTCTTTATTGTTGGTATTACATTCCACCCTATGTAAAAAATGTTGGATGAATTAAATAAAAGACCTTAGTGGAAATTGCTACATTTGTGTTGAAATATTATTAGTTTGTACCTTTTGTCATTTCTTTCAACATCATGGTCTTCATTTAGTATGTTTATTTCAATTTTTCATGTTAGTGTGATATTGGTTGTCTTTGAAATCATAGTGATAAAATCAATGATCCTCATTGCTATAGGATGGCACAAATTCACCTCATATAGATTTTTTATTAGACTATCAGATTATTACTGTAATATTTTCTTGATAATTGATTAATGCTAATTAAAAGGACATTAGATATATAATTACATGTACATTCAATTAAATGTACATTTACCTACCATAACAACCATCTCAGCATTTTTGTTTATATGCATAAAAATGTTTTTAGCCATTGTTGTTGTTTTCAGCTGTTTTTTCACAAGTTTTTAACGCGGAGACGTTGCTTTAGCCCTGTGCAACACAGCTATTGGTGGGCATTTTGAATCACAGGTTTTTACATGGGCTTCCAAAGGAAGACCATGTCTTAAATTACCGACGTTTTTCGTCTGTGGTATGCTTCAAATTATATCCGGGACCTTTTSWTTYTTGAYWTCTATTGTCTTACTGTCATTCATGTTTCTAAGCAACGATTCAAAGGTCGCCTCTAGACTCTTCCACAGTCCCGTGCTCGGCTTTGGGTCTTCTCGCAGTGGGACTGTAACGGTTAAATCCCTGAAATGCATTGTGGGACCAAAAATCTTGGACCCACCCTGCTTTGCGATCCTAAACGCTCGCTACAGTCTCGCTCGACCAGATTTTTCAAGATGGCGGACAAGAGGTATTTTTATAAACTACTCGGAAGTGGGTGATTTTATGCACAATTATTTGTCTGTAATACTGTCATTATTTCCTCTTTTTAGTAGTGTCAACACCAAAAAGTACAAAGAGCACTACTGTGCAGTGTGCTCCAAAATTTCACTTGTAGAATCATCACTACTACTGCTACTGTCATAATTATCATCACTACATAAAAYGCTTTTCTCCTGGCCKTTCACAGGAAAACAAATAATTAACTATAGTCATTGGTGGAAAACCAACTTTAAAAAAAAATAACATACTAGTTCCATTGGATCAAAAGAGGGCACACTTTTTAATCGAAAAATGTTGAGTTATTACCAAATTATTGAATACCAAATACTTTGAATCATTTATTTATGGTTGTAAAATAAAGTTGTTGTTGTCATTGTTATTATTATTGATTGTATATAAACCATCCATACTTACATTTCTTAAGAATACATGAATCATCGCCCAATACAACATTCTGCTGTTCAATGATTGCATTAAGTGGGCTAAGGATAAGTGACATGTTTGTCTCTTTTTTACGATATAGAAATGAAAGAAAGTTATAGTGCTTAGAAGGAGGCAATTCCGGGAGAAGTCCCTTAGGAATAAATTCGGAAAAATTAATTTCCGACCTCGCTGGGATTCGAACCCACGACCTTCGGATTTGTACACCGATGCTCTACCAGCTGAGCTACAAGGCCAGACTGGGAGCAGGTCGGGGTGAAATAGATGTTAAGGTTGCGGTAATAGAATAATCTAAAGATATGAATATGAAGACCGCATGGCACTACTTTTATGTAGTCTCGAAAACGTGGGAATTAATTCGAAGATTAATGTTTTGCCATATCCTGTTGGCATAATTCCTTTCGATGAATCACAAAATCATTATATCAATTAGAGTCATCTAATATCCAAAAACAAATGTGTAACATYAATTATTCTTTCAATTCAAAATAGAAAAACTATTTCTCAAACAACGTGAAGGAACACAATTCTCAAATTTTTCCACCAAGACCACATAGATAGCAAGAAAGTGCGGTTATAAAATRATGTTGCCATAATKTTGAGAATTTCAAATCAAAGAAGATGAAAATTTTAGGAATCAGGACGGAGCTCTTTGGRTAGCAGCGAAACAAGTCGCGCAATTAAAACATCGTTTTTCTGAATACCTTCAAGAGTACAGTCGATTTGCTTAGGTTTAATCCATTGAATAGCTTCATGTTTAGAACGTCTTTTATTCATTTCTATTWAAGTTAATTTCAGAAAGAGATGTTTTTCAATCTTGTCCGCCATCTTGAAAAATCTGGTCGAGCGAGACTGTAGCGAGCGTTTAGGGTCGCAAAGCAGGATGKGTCMAAGATTTTTGGTCCCATAATGCATTGCAGGGATTTAACCGTTACAGTCCCACTGCGAGAAGACCCAAAGCCGAGAAGGGGACTGTGGAAGAGTCTAAGGTCGCCTCGTGCTTCTTCGGACCTTCGTATAGCCGGCAAAGTTTTAAGATYGAACATGTCGAATTATCTAGGTCATCTAGCTTCTACAAATACGCTAGATTCTTTTACAAATCGAATTTTAAAAATTCGAGCGTTTCTCAAAAGGGCATTTGGAGAGATACGGCGAATTTATCGTGAATCTATCGATCGTGAATTATCTATCAAACATTAGCTTATCAAAAGCTAACTTATACAAGTACAGGCTCTACAATCACCAAGGACTTATCTAAGACATGTCAASAGATTTATACTGAGGAAAAACAGATGATTGGAAGTATTTTAAGCGAAGAACATGAAAGACTATCGACGTACTSGCTGTGCTTACAGCCAAGGATGCGAATCTCAAACTGACGGTTCGCCAAACATAAATTACTTYTTTCACAATATTATGAAATTCTACTGAGTACATTGCTTGTTTGATTATTTTTCATTAAAGGAAATCTTTTTTTGCTGTTGTCTTAGTAATATTAATTTCATTAGGGTTCAATATCATTTACTGATTGTGATATACCAAAGGAAGCCCATGTAAACGATCGCTGATCGTCTAGTTATATCTAAAAATCTACGTTGTTGTAGGAATGTCGCTATGTTTGTATACATTTTATTAGCCATGTGAGTGTAGCTTCGTTMGTGGGTTAAGTCAGTGACATCACTTCCGCTTTGAACTTCGATTGCAAATGATTATGTTCAGATCAKATCAAATTAATGGCGGRTCGAAAATTACTCGAAAATGACAAATTCGAAGCCCTTCTCTTCATCCAAATGCAAAACGGCCTGGGTAAGTTAATATATATCGTGTATACTAGCGAAGACAGTGGTCAGAAGAAAATGGACGGATTTCGTCGTAGCAGCACTATAAATAAGTAAATGAATAATAAAGATGGATAACTGGAATTGACTGACATGTCAATAAATGACAAACTCCTTCACTTTTTAACCACGTTTAAAAAAAATTCCTTTAGACAAAGCTTAACGTAGGAGTGAGTGTTTGGATGAATGAATCGATCAAATCACTGCAATGAAACGAGGCTTTTATCAACAACATTAYGTACCTGTAGGTCCAATTRTTCATATCTTCCTCCATACGTTCCTTATCAGGGATTTTGACATCACCAATGATGTAACTCATTGCCCATTTTGCTTGTGCATCGAACATAGTAAATGTATACCACTGATCCTGCATGCCAATATACATCACCTTGTTATTACCACCATGGCACCATAGAATACCTTTGTACAGGCCTGGAGGATACAAAATATTCTTTGTTTTCAGACAAAGACGTTCTTCCATAAAAGGAAATTTGTGAAGGTACCCAGTGCATAGGATGATGGAGTCAACCWCTGCACTACTGCCATCTTTGAAGTGGACAGTGTTGCCTTGRATMCTGGTAACAAGTGGTCTTTCTTCAAWCTCYGGAGGCCATTTGAATCCCATTGGTTGTGTCCTGTAGCTTGTGTAGATCTTCTTAGCACCATATTTGATAGTTTSCAATGCGAGGTCCTCTGCAGAGTAGCTTGACCCTACAATCAATACAGTCATGCCTTTGTATTGATGAGAGTTTCTGAAGTCATGAGAGTGGATGACCCGTCCAGGAAAGGTTTCTATTCCRTTCAAGTTGGGCAAATAAGGCACAGAGAAGTGACCACTGGCTACAATGACATAGTCAAATCTCTGAGCTRGGAGGTCTTTGTCCTCCGGAAGATTTCTAGCCACAACAGAGAAGTCATCAGTGTCATCATTGTAGGTGACATGGCGGACAACATGGTTGAATTTGATCCACTGACGGAGATCACTTTGTGACCAACGACCTGAGACAAATAAAAGAAGAAGAAAAAATAAACAACAGCAATTTTAAACAATGGACTTCATCGAAATGAAGAAATTCTAACACTTTATTAATATATAAGACTTTACCGTTCAAGTAGTCCAACAAAACTTCTCTAGGAGRATAAGACGGAATAGCCCTTTTAAAATGATCTTCAAATGTATAGTCTGGGTATTCCACGCACTCTTTCGGTCCGTTGGACCACAGACCTCTATACATACTACCGTGCACTGGTTCACCATATTGACCAATACCTAAATGAAAAGAGGCAACAGATAGTGAATTAATTAATTATTCATGTGAAGCCGTCATTGTCGCTTCTTACCTGTCTCCCAGGAGTACAACCAGAGACCACCCCAGTCAGACTGTTTATCGTAGCACACAATTTCTGGGACGTCTTTTCCTTGCTGTTTCAGTTTGTTATAATGATATAAGACTGACATGCCACTAGGGCCTGCTCCTATCAAACACAGCCGCTTCTCTTTCGACATATTGATGAGGTTTTACTTAACRGATGTTCTGAAATAAATACAAAACAAAGTTAACTGACTTTATTTCCACCATGATCATCCAATTGAAACCCTGGCCACCAAGCGCTGGGAAAGACCAGTGCAAAAGCACTAATACTAAATCAAATTATTCGCTAAACTTTTTTTCCTTTTTTGTCATTTTAATRAACTGGAAAACAAAATGTAACAAATTTGCAYAATTTGCGACAGAAAATCTTCTGGCTCGATATTCCTAGTGTTTTGACGTCGTTGCGCCAAGCTATCAGAAAAGAGTATCGCCGGACGTAAAGAAACATTTAGAATTTTGAGCTGCACATTAATTAATTTAAGGGAAAAAAACTAATGAAATCATCTTTCACTCGTTCGCGTATCCCCGCACCCTATGTAATATGCCGTCTTTCTCAATGTTCTAAAATAGCCAGCCCGACCTCACGCTCTAAGAGCGTCTAGTTCGGTAACAGTCAATGCAGATGCAAGAGATATATATGTGATGTGCAAATAGTTCTGAGTTTTATCTAATTTTTTGCATATTTTACAAATAATTGAGTCTWATATGTCTGCCATCAATTCAAGTTTTCAATATGGATTCCTATTACATCATAAGATTCATTATTAAAGTTCTTACACTTCTTACACGACTCCTTGCATATTCCCTTGCACAAATGAATTTCTGAAACTAGTCAATCTGAAGTGGAATTTCCAAAAAACATTCTTATTGTACAGTTTTCATAATAAAACTGCGGCAATTCGCACATCTCACGAAACATCCAGTTTTATAATATAAACATTAATGAAAACCTAGGAAATCCAGTAAGAAATATAAAACGTCGCGACGTAGCTCTGACAAATAATTGACGTTAACCTTTTCAATTAATTCAAGTCTAAAGTTACTCTAAGACTTTCATCATTCAAAAATGTTTGGTATACATTGGTATACAGCAATATCTATGTTGTAATCAACAAAAATATAAACGTCAATATCTACTAAAGTGAATCTGGGCACGGTTAAATCCACACAATGGTTCTAGTTATGAATTAGCATGATATTCGCAGTTTTAGATTAACATGACATTGCATAAGACGCAAGGATCAAGCTCTTGATTTGTTTAAGATATATGAAAACATGTCAATAATATTCATGATGCCACTCTAATCTAATGCCGACTTTTGGTTCTACCACCGCTCAAATAACCAGACCGTGAAGTAAAACGATGTAGTACAACTTAACACTAATGAAATTGTTCGCGTAGTTCCACCATTAAAGGTCATAACAACGAAGATATCTATATCCTTTCACTAATATTAGACCTTGACAACGCAGTCATTTATAAACARCCCAAATTACGATTTGACTCTTCACACAAATCTTACCGTAATAAAGATCTTTATTTTACATCAGATTTGCAGACTTGCCGCTTTACCTAGGCTCAGTCTCCAGCCGTCGGGATTTCGTGCGCCCGCGATACTCTCTCCCCTGACGGCTGGGCGCATGGGGTTCGCTATT